TCCTTGCATGCATGAAAAGACCAAAACACAGCCAGTATGGGTGCACAAGTTGAACTGTAAAGCAACAATCATTCATTTTGTATGCGACCTAATTGCTTCAAATTTTGCGCATGAAGCCAGTGCTTTCTACTGTTTTGTTCAGGAGGCAATGGGAACGTATGATGCAAACATGGAGCAGGCCGATGATGATATCGCACTTGGCTCGCCCTATGAGACCCCCCATAGAACTCCTCGTCTTTCGGAGCGAGCCGACTCGATTGTTCCGACAGCTGGTCGAGAAGGCTTTAAAATCGTTCCCAAGTGTTACAGAGGACGTACCATGGCAGTTTTCACGAGTGGCGGCGACGCTTCTGGTAAATTCGTTTACTGCGTCCCAGGCGTAAAATACAGAAGAGTTTGGCCTGTTCTTCTTTTTAGCGTTATTTCCTGCACCATTTTTGCTTCCGTGAGACTAGCTGAAGAAAGTTAAACTTGCAATAAGTACATGTATTTTCGGAAGAAGTTGAAGCAGTATGGTGAGTAGTAATAGGTTTGATTCAAATTAATTTGACCCGAAAATTTTTAGCTCGAAAAAGAAAAAGGTTTTATTTTTCAAAATTTTTTGACTTTTTACGGCCAGAAATTTTAATTTTTTTTTTTTTTAAATTCGATTTATTTCGGATTTGCCATTAGAAAAACCAGCCCAGCAATTCGTTCATTTGTTTTAAATGGTAAATTATTAGTAGTTGCACGGCCACCACCAGGCCAGTTTTTTGTGCAACCCATGGAAGAGCGAGCCAACCCTGAATCTGCCGGTGGATGGTTACCCATCGCACATGCTACCACTAGAACAACTTCCGAATACCTTCCATTCCTTTTAAAAAGTAAAGTATTATGGTAAATTGTTAATAGAAAGGTTTTATTAACAAGGGATGAAGCAAGAAATTAAAAAGGGTTTTGGAAGTAAGAATTAGAAAATTAGAAAATCTGTAAAATTAGTAAAATTAGTATAATGGGAAAAAAGTCTAATGGTGGCTATGCAACTAACAATTTATCTGAAAAAAAGGAAAATTTCGTAGTAAGTGAAGTATTAACATATTGTAAACCTAGGCTGAAGGTCATTTTTGAGGGTTGAGTTACCGGTAATACTAATTCCGAGATAGTTTTGCATAAACGCTATCTTGAACAGAACAGAATTTAAGGAATGAACAGTGCTGTACGTTCGGTGGTCAGAATGGGCATTTATCTGGGATGTCGAGTTTATCTCATCTACGAAGGCTATCAGGGAATGGTTGATGGCGGTGACAATATCAGGGAGGCCGACTGGCAATCTGTATCCGATATCATACAGCGCGGAGGCTAGTTTTTGGATTTTTGGTATTTTTGTTCAGTGCAAAAAGCAGTTGGTTTTATCTGATAGTGGTTCTTTTTTTTTCTAGGCACAATAATTGGATCAGCACGATGTAAAGACTTCCGCGAACGTACGGGTCGCATGCGCGCTGCTGAAAATCTCATCAAACATCGCATTACCAATTTGGTTTGCATTGGAGGTAAGTTCATTCCATAGGCTACCTACCCTGTTGCTAGCTAAAGGCGTTCACTTTTTCATAAAAATGAGAGCGTAAAACACCGAAACTTGCTTAGTGCCTTAACGAACTGTGCAGAGTCTTGGCTAATTTGCTTAGAATTATTACCCGTCTCATATGTTAGTCTCCTCCTGTTCCATCTGCTCCATCACTTTTATTACTTTCATGCTATTACACTTTCTCTTCTTCTCTTTCACTTATCCTTCTTGCAAATTAGTTACATGTCTTTTCAATACATGGCGGGTAGGAGGCTGTACTGACCATCCTCACTCCTACCCGCATGCACTGTTCGGTCTGTGTATACAGCTAAGGGATGAAACACAGACTGCATCATGAAATATCTTCTTATACATGACACTTAATTCCAATCTTTTTACTCCACTATTCTAACCGTGCATTGCAAATGTCACTGTCTTTTTAACATGGCGAAATGGGGCACTGTACTGATCATTCCCACCCCATTTTGCACTGTTTCTGCCGTCTTTGTTTACAGCTCAGAAATGAGACATAGGCAGGTCACTGTAAATACAAGCTTGCTTATTTGGGAGATCTGAATGGCACTTCCAGTTTTTCATTAATTTTCAAAATTCGATTTCTCTCCACAGTGAGCCAACAGCGCCAAACTGTATATGTTAACACATAGAAGATTTCAAGCCCCCATTCTCTTCCAGTTTCCTGACCCGAGATATTCACTGTTTGTATCTTTAAAATTTCTGAAACACTTACGAATACTTATTGAGACTTAAGCGCGGAATACCTTACTTTCATACTGGTCAGTTGAGAGAATCAAGCGGATTTTAGGTGATGGCTCGTTGACGGGAGCGAATCTTTTTCGTCAAGAATGGCCGGATTTGGTTCGCCAGCTTCTCGCAGATGGAAAAATAACTTCGGAAGAAGCGAAGCACTGTGCTAATATTCAAGTAAATGCCTAGCCATTATTTCTATATAACTTGGCAGCTGATGTGATGG